AAAGCCAGTAGTTGCCAAGTCTACTGAGCTCTGTTAATAGTGTAAGCACTGCCTCCTTATGTATGCTCAATTCCAGTAATAATAATTAGGAAATGTTGAGTTTAATGGCAGAAGAATTATTCCAAAAGATGCAATTGGTATCAGTTTCATAAGGAGTTTTTAAATAGTTGACAAACATAGTTGAGGAATAAAGTTAAAATGTTTACCAGAAGGAATACTTAAACATCCTGAAATAGTCTCACAATATTCTAAATCCAAAGGAGAGATATTCTGAGGGTGGAAGAAGATGTCAAATATCAAAGAAGGTCTGGGAACTTAATGCCCTTTAGAAAAAAAAGAACAAAGTTTTCAGCAAGGTAGGTCCAAATCAGTGGAACTTTGATTTGAAAACAGAATATAGGAATGGAGATGCTAAACTAAATCTAAAAACTTCAAGTGTATACTATCTATCATATTATTGATGAAACTAAGGGGAAAGTATGAAAAATGGGTACAATAGGAAACATAATGATTTTCCCACTTAAAATTTCAATTGATATGGTTTGGATACATGTAAAAAACACAGTACTGGGAATGATGGTTACCTGACATTATTATTAAAACAAGATATCTTGCCCCAGATTGCTAAGTCCTAATTATATTTATGGATGCTAGGTGCTGTATTGTACATACAAAATTATGCATCTGGATCTGGTACTAATCAGAAGGGTAGATGTGAAAAGCATTAGGTTTATTGTGCTGGTGAGTTTTGCCAGACTTCTGAGACAAACTGGATCTCTTGCAGTAAATACTGGAACCGTAATTTAAAATTTTTAAAAAGTGGCATTACAACTTGCAAATCAATATGTAACTGTAGTGTGTAAAGTGCAGGATATTCAGTGCTTCAAAGGAAGTGGTTAATTGATTGTAGGGAGATGTGGGCTGCATTTCTTAATGTACTTCTTTCTTACAAAGGGTTTGGTATGACTGTGTTTTCTTGGTGCTGTACCTTAACATATGACGCTACTTGTGACCGCATCGTCCCTGCAGTGTGGTTTTCATGGGTGTGCATTACTGTTCCAGTTGAAATAATTTGAATTTTAAAAAAGCTTTTTTTAAACTGTCTTTCTGCCAGGAAATTCCTAAGAGTACTCTGAGTTCAGTGGGTTGAAACCTGTAATTTTTGATTGCTAGAAATATTGATGGTTGATTGACTTTTGTGTCACATGTTCTGTCAGATTATTTGGGGGACGTTCATGTACTAGCTGCCTGATAAAGATTCCCTGGTGTCTGTCTGCTTTATACCTAGTAGAGAACCTGTACGATCTCTTTGTGTTCCTGTCCATGTGCCTTCAGGAAAACTGCTGGAGCCCAGCTGTGTTTAGGTATTGATTTCTACTAATTTAGTGAGATATGGCAACAGGTTTAAAAGCTTTGGGGAAACAAATATTGTACCTTAATTAACATGACTTTTTCCACTGGAAAACCAAATAGGAAGTTGAATCAGAGTGGATTGGAAGACCATTTTGTAGGTTGCCTTTGTAAGGGATGTGCACCCTCCTTTCCCTGGCAGAAATTGATTGTTGATGTGTTCAGGTGTAAGTAGAAATTTTCTGTGGACCTTTTCTGTTATTTTTCTTATACTTCTGTGTTGCCTTCTGAAATATGTTTTACTTTTGGAACCAGAGTACTGGGAATAGCCAGATCTTGGATCAATTCCACTTGTTTAGTTGTCCTGCTACGGGAGGAGAGCACCTGAAGAATAATCAAGGTCTACAGTCTCTGTCTTTTGAAAACTAATCTGAGAAAACTAATCTGAGAAAGATATATATTCAGCCTTCTCTTAGTCTGTGTTCATCAGACTATTTTATCAGACTATTATGCTCCCAGCCTGTTATGTCATCGAGGCATGCCCTTGGTGCTAGTTAAATACCAGAGGGAGTCTACGCCCAGCAAAAGGAAACGTATTTCATTTGCTCACCTCTTTAGCGTGCTGCTGACCTCCTCACTCCACACTGGTTTCAATAGTGCCATTTCCAACAGGAACTTTGGGCTTTCCATTTCAACTCCTAAGAAAGGCTGTGCACTTTGTAGCCTTTCCGAATACACAGCTGCTTTCCATTTAATGGTATATACCAGCAAACCATAAATCATATATACATATTCTTCTTTACCTTACATGGCTCAGACTGCTCTGAGAAAAACTGGTTCTACCATCCAGTGATTCCCTTAGCATAATCATTGCTTGGGTAGACCTGTTTGAAAAGGTCTTGCTAATCCAGTGCTCTGGCTCAGACAGGACTGCATGGCGCTCATGCTGATTCCTTGAGTTTGTTCCTAGTTCCAGTGTGTGTGTTTTGCTTGAGTTCAGCTGAAAAGTAACTGTAAGGAGTGCAGGAAGATCAGATTGTGCAAAACAGTTTATTTGTTTTGCAGAAGTTTGCTGTGGTTTTTCTGGTTGACTGCTGAGAAAGTCAGTGAGGTTGAAGATTAGAGCCTTTTTAAAAACAGAGGTTGATCTCGCCTTTTTGTCTTTGAAGGGAGGCTTGTCTGAAGTTTCTGAGAGTGCATTTCACTTCCAACTGATTTCAGTTGTCTTAAAATAGTAAATGTGAGAACCTAAACTTACTGTGTGGTAAATTCTTTTTTAACCTGCAGTTAATGTACATTACTATTTAGCAGAATGACTATTGTAGCAGGAATTACTGTTTCTGAAAATCTGCATGTGGAGTGGAGTCAGTGTAGAGCACATGGTTTTGATATACAAATTGCCCTATTTTAGGCCCTAAAGTTTAGCCATTGTTGCTGTTAGAACATTACAGACTCCTCCTTTTCAGCTAAAGTCAATTATTTTATTTGTTCTACTGATTTTTTTCTTTTATGTTTTTTTTCTGATTGCAAGATTGAACAAAACTGTGTTATAGCGTGAACAGACTGTAGAGATGTGTAGGTAAAATACTATTATTAATTTATGTCATAAATTTGAAAGAAGGGGAAGTATGTGACTTGTGGCCTTGATGGTAATGATATATGTGTACTCAATATACAGCTTGTCCCTGTAAACAAGCTTTATTAAAAACATTCATTTCTGTTACTTAGCTAAGCTGGTATTTTTCTGGCCTTCATTTGATAATATCAACTTTAGATGTATCTTAAGGAAGGATAGTACAATGCAATATTCACTGCCTGTACACGCTAAGTAAAAGATGTTACAATGTGGGGAATGTGGGCTTTTTGGAGAATCATCTTATCAAATTACCCTTTGCTGTACACATAAAGAGTTGTATTAGCTGCTCTTAACTGAGACAGCTTTTAAAGATTATATTCACTGATGTAGTAATGTGTAGCACATGCCACTGATTTCTCACTAGTCCTCCATCATGGAAGGATGACTTTTAGAGTAGACCAGAGTCATGCCAGAAATCTCTAGTATCTTCCTGAAGCCAGGAAAGATGAGAAAATAGCACTGCTACCGTGTGCCAGATGTCTGCACTAGGAAGACAATCAGAAAACCCAGTCTTCTTCCCCTCCCCTACACCTAAACAAAACAACCAAAAAACAACAATAACAAAAACCACCAAAAAAACACAAAAACCCAAACAAAAACCCCAAACAACACAAAAAAGCCCCCCAAAAAACCCTGAAGAAACCCCCTCTAAAAAACCCAACCCACCTGTGTCATACTGGGGAAATCCATGATTCCTATAATTTAGCTTTTTCTAGCTGCATCTTCCAGAAAAAAAAAAAAAATGCACAGGAGAAAAGTTGCTAGAGAGCTGGTAATCATCTGATTGAACATTCAGTGTACTTGCAATATTTGAAAATCAGAATTTGTAAGTGGTTAGAATTTAATCTGTCACATAGGAAAGACTCTCCTCTAGCCAGATGCAAGCTAGAAGGTTCTAAGAATCAGAAGTTGTTACTAGGAAGATACTAGGAAGGTTCTGAAGAATTCTGCTGAAAAACTGAGTAGTGGGAAGGAGGGTGTGAAATGAAGCTGAAATCTGAATTTCTGAACAGCTTTTATTAACTTTCTGACATCTAAAAGGTAACTATACGTGTATGTAACTTTTAAGTAAATTAGGATTTGAAAAAATTGATTAATTAGACTTTGAGTTCTCTAGGGAAACAATGCACAAATGAACTCAAATTCTGTCTCCAATAGTAATGGAGAATGGTAACCATTTTTAATAGTTTTTCATTTGTTTCTAGAATGATACTGAATTGCTGTTAAACTTTAGGAGCAAACTAAGAATTAATGCCTGAGGTGATGCCCTGTACCATAACTTCGGAAATACATACTTTTACTTACAACTTGCTATTGGTCATGCTTGTTGTGTAAGCAAAGTCATTCAAAGTCTTTCAATTTAGAAATTCTCCCAAGTATATTATCACTGTCAAGCAAAAGAAAGCCTTTGTTGACCAACAAGGTATTTAAGATTTTTTTTTTTTTAATCTTTATGGCTAAAATTCAGATTCAAAAGCCTTTTTCTGTATGGCTTGTTAGAATGGCCCTTGGGAAAGTATAGTAAGTGGTAAATGCTGTAAAATTGATAGTAAAATTAGAATTCCATTCAATGTTTTTTTAAGTCTATGCTATAGACCTATATGTAAGGTCATGCTCTTAGAGCCCCTTTATCTGTTTGCTTTGTGTGGCTTTTTGCCATTCAGTCTTCATCAGGTTTAACTGTTTTGCAGAAGTTATACTAATGGAAAATAGTGTCTAGCTGTGTAGCAGTGAGGCTTCAAATGCCAGGTGGTTTTATGTATTTCTTACTGTGACTTCATCCAGGTTGAGAATACACAAGGATCAAAGCAGGAGGAGTGGCATTATATGCCAGCAATAGGGAGTTTTCCATGTTTACTTTTGATTACCTGCTTTTGTAGAATATGGAGAAGAGAGTACAGTAACATGCTATGAAAGCCTATCTCCAATATATTTATTTCTGTACTTGGATTCAGTATTTATTTTTACTTTCTGTGTGATAATACTTTCTTTATTTTTACTTTCTTTTTTACAGAATGGACAGCAAATTGTGGATGAACCTATGGGAGAAGATGATATCAACCAACAAACTGTAAGTAAAATATGGCTGTAATAAAAGCAGTACAATATTGGAGCACACTGACATAATTCATAATGGCAGTTTGCCACTAGTGTTTTGTTGTTTGAAATTACTGGACGTGGGGTGCACTCTCAGATCTTAATATTTTTGAGTGTGGCTTTTTCTCACTGACTCAGGTCTAGTTCGGTATCCTACTGTTCTCAAAACTCATTCCTCAGCTTTTAATAGTGTTTCAGGGAAGATCAAGTGTGAAGAACAACTGTGAAAGTGTAGTTTCCATTGTGCTTGTTATTGAAAGGCATTTATCAAAGGAATTCTTAACCTAGGCTTCTTAAAAATAGAGATTGTTACTAAAGAGAGGATCAATGAACCTTCCTGACTGTGATAATTTTTAAGGTTCCTTGTCTTCATGTCGGACTTGTAGTTTACAAAATTTCATAATGTGAAGATACCGAGTTCAGTTTTCTTGTTGCAATGCCTGTGAATTTTGTCAAACATGAAGTTTACCTGTACTTTCATGTTAGCTGAATATTAGGTCTGGTGATAAATGGCTTTGCCAATAAAGACAATTTTTGAAACTCCATATTTGGTTGAACTTCAGGATTCATATGCTGCTATTGCATATTATGCAGATTCAGGTTGTGAGTAGATGGTCCAAGCTATTTCCCATTCCACTTGTGCTGCTTGTCAGGGAGAAGGTAGAAGAGTAGTATGAGCCTAAGAAGGGGAGGGTGGAGAAAAAGGTGGTTTTAGTTTCATCTTTGTTTCTCACTATCCTGGCAACAGGTGAAATAAATTTTCCCTAAATTGATATTCTTTGGCCCATGGTGGTAACTGGTGTGGGCTGTCCCTGTTCCTTAGGCAGGGCATGAGCTTTTCTCCTACATGTCCTGCTGAGGAGGGGCTTGAGAAAGTGACTGGGTGGGTGTCTGGCAGTCAGCTAAGGTTTATCCCTCAAAAGTATCAAACTTCTCTTTCAATATCTGATAACTACAGAATGCTTACAAATGTTTCCCTGTATTTCCTTTGGGAGTTTCCAAACTGCTGCTTTTCTGCAACTGATTTTAATACAGTATAACCATCAAAAAGTTAAAACATTACTCTGGTATTCTTTCTGTCATGCTTGAGCTGCTTGGTTATGATTGTTTTAGCTGTTTAATGTCTCAGACCAGTATTTTAGGAGTATACTTTGCATTTCATTCTATGCTGTGGTGAGTAAAAGGTTGCCAGTTGTGGTGTAAATTATTCTAGGGTTTTTTAAACAACATGTTACTTTGGCTGCTCAGTCGGTTATAGCAGGAATTTAACCAGTGCTGTCAGTCAGGTGATGAAATACTACTTGAGCTGGGGTGTGAGATTCTGTCAGTCCTTCATAGTCTGTTTTGGTGCAAGATACAGACAATTGTAAATTACCATTGAAACTCATTTAAGTTGTACTGTTTATCTTCACACTTAAATGGACTTGGGGCACTTACATAGTTGCTAACAATTTCTGAAATTTCTCAGCTGTAACTGAGGAGAGTAGAATGCGTAGAGTGTACTAGCAAATCAGGTCAGAAGACAAAATACTTTGGTAGGTGTGTAAAGTATGCAAGTTCAGGACAGAAAGTTGCCATACTTCTGTGGAGATAGAAGGTGAAAGCTTGAAATCTGCATCTTTTTGCTGTGGTTGGATAGAATGTTGATAATGCAAATGAGACAGGAAGTTTAAAATAAATATTAAAACTTACCACAGTTCCATGTACATAGGAACTCTCTCTAGTATTCTGTGTGTCAAAAGATAAATTGTTTCATTAGATCCATGTTCTTTTGGTCAAAAGTAAAGTTAATTAACGGGAAAGCCTGAGTTACATGACTGTGATTCAAGTTTGGTAGTTGTTTTAGGAAAATCAGGAGCTATAAAGATACCCATTTCTAAGAAGTCCAAGAAGCGGTATGGTTCAAAGTCTTGCTTCTTTTAAAAGGGGACTCATTCAGTATTCTGGTTTTATTGCAACAAGTGTGCTGATTATAGCTGACTTTATAGCTTGTTGCCAACATTTTTTTATCTGTATCTCACAAATGACCTGGAAGCAGCAGGAAATAAACGTAAGAGCAGCTGGCTGAAGCTTAACCTGATGTGAAAAATTAAGTGAACATTACTGAAAGGGGAAGCTATTTAAAGCCTTTTATTTGCTACCTTTCTCACTCTTGTGCTGTCTGCCATTGCTTTTTGTACCTCTATGTCCATAGAGATTGAGTAAGTTAACTGAGCAAATTAATTGTTTTGAGCTGTTGCAATCATGCTGCATGTTTTATTGCTAGTTAAAGCTAACCAGAAACTGCAGGTAGTCTAACAGGTGGCTTCCCATTTTATGTGTATGTGAAGAGCATATCGTATTTGTGCTGTGTTCTTTATGTTCTGTTATCTGGATTCTATGTAGCTGATTAAACACTTAGTACAACTGATACATTACCATTGCATTCTACTAGCTTAAGCCTAATTATTAAACATATGAAAAATATTAAGTTCCAAGAATTTGTAAAAAGTTTTCTTTTCACTAGAAGTGAAGTTTTCATTTGGAAGTTGCAGGAAAATTTATTTTTGGTAACCTGCAAGGACTAAAGGAGTTTTTCTTCCAGTACAGGCAGAAGTGGAACCTGTTGAGGCTCAAACCTGGGATGAACCTCTCTTCAATGCAGGTGGTGGGGTCATATTATTACCCTTGACTTCTTGCTTTGGCCCTACTTTTAAATAAGCAGAATTAAAGCATACATAGAATTAAAACTAAATCAAAACAAACCATATTGAAATATGCTGATCGGGGTGATAAAAAATTAAATCTCAGTAGCTGTCATCCTCTTACTAGAAATATATAGCTAAGGTAAAAATGACTAGTCAGTGGATAGTCAAAAGGTAGAGTAAGAAATGTTTGCAAAGAGAGGTCAGTATTTTAAAAAGTCTTTTTAATTTATGTTTTCCTAGTAGAATTTAAATAACACATCTGTTTGCAGTCATGAGAGATGAAAATTGAGACCATTGTCTTCCTAGTCAGTGTTTTTTATTAAAAGAATTTATAAGAAAAGCGTGATCTTAAAAAAGGCTTCAGTATATATTAGAAAAATAATTTGAAGCATGTGGACAATATGGTCTCTTTGTTGAAGTATTGCATTTGATTGATCAGTGCTGAGATTCTGTATTTTACATGCATGTATACCGTACAATTTACACTAAATCTGTAAACCACTGGAGTGGGGATGTCAAGTTACATAAGGAGAGGGAGCTCATTCACCAGTTACAGCCGTGGGCAAAACAGCCCCCATCACTCAAGTAGTAATACTAAATCCAGAGTAAGCTGGGGTAATCTAATTTGTTTTGTCTTCATCTGTGAAAATAATATAGGATGAGAACGTTGTTCAGAAAAAAGCATAACTAAACTGAATGATTTTTAGATTTTAAAACATTTCTGAGAGGCTTTAGCTGATTTTTAGTTTAACCTCAATTTCTAATATTCTGTACTAGTGAGAACTCAAATGTTTCAGAAACTTTTGTTTGTCTTTTGGCAAGTTGAAGCACTGTTTCAGGACTGCTCTGAACTGCTGATGGATATTCCTGCTCAGGTGATAAGTAACAGTTTCCATGTTTAAGAACAGTCATGTTTGTTAACAGGACAGTGAAGGCATTTCTGATTTTGATATGTTTGTTTTACTTTTGCTGATACAACCTTCACATTTCAATTTTCTGTGTGTGCATGTTTGTCAGTTCTTTGATTAAAATTCTTGGCTCTGTGGTAGAGCCAAGACATAGCTATAATTTCTTAAACATTAGGGAAATGTTTGGATTCACAAGTGCTCGTAATCCATAATCCAAGTTTTGGATTTCTCATTATTTACAGACTGTTACTTAATTTTAGCTGAAACAGCTACTTGTGTAGCTACTTGTAGCTTGGGTTGAAAATACTAAACTTGTACTTCAAAGTATTCTGTGATTCTTGCATTACTTTTAGTGTATTCTACAAAATATACTTAGATATATGTACTTAATTTTATTTTACAATCAAATAACTTGATTCTTGAACAAATAAGGGTTTTTTAAGGCAAACAATTTACATCTGCAAAAATTAAATCATTTCCTTCTCAATGACCAGACTGTGCTTTGTAAAAGGCTGAATACTGGTTTTTTTGTTGTTTAATGTGATGAAATTAGAAATTCATTATCTTCCAAAGCACTGTGCTCTGCTGAAACTTGGATAAATTTTGTTAGCAACTTTGTGACATCTTACCTTTCTGAGAATGAACTTGTAGGTCCTCATGTAAGAAGTTACAGCATCCTTGTAAACAGTGCAGACCATTTGGTCTGAGATGATAACTCTTAGATATCAAAGTAATATATAAAGAAGGCAAGCCCTGGAATACTTTTTTTCCCCTAAGATGTCATCAGGTGTTGAGGAAATATTACAGCAAAAATTTCATTAATGTGTTCTACTGGATTTTCTGAGTGACTTCTTTTGCATTTGGTGTCTTAGTTGCAAGGTACATTCTGGATCTTGGTCAGAAAATTTGAATAATTTGAGAGTGTAAGCAATGTTCAAAGTCAAGCTGCTTACTTGTTACATGGAGAGAAAACAGATGGTAGCCCTGCAAAGCCTGTAAACTGACAGATGGAAGCTGCCACACCCCCTGTTTAATAGAATATTGCTGCTTTGGCTATACAAATGTATTTATTATGAAGAAAAGTATATTATTCTGCTTCCGAAAACTCAAAAAATTAGCTCTCTGTTCCTCAACTGTTGAGCTTTGTCAAACAAGGGCTTTTCATTACACATGTGTACTGTGTCTTTGGTTTTCTGCATATAATAATTGCAAAGCAATTAACTGCAATAATTAACTGCAAATAATTGAAAGCAATCCATACTAAAGAGCCTTGCTTTTCTAGCATTGTGAAGACTTAATTTTCATTGTTACACTTCTCAAACTGGGGGTATAGGAGATTGTTGGTTTATCTGAAGGACTCCACTTTGACTATTTCAGCATTCAATAAAACTCGTGGATTCCCCAATGTTCTGTATTTCTTTGAGAGTTCCTCAGCATTTTTCATTTCTCCTGCTCCCTGTAGTGTCTGTGAGCTCTGTTCTCTTGAAAGTCTAGACAGCATTTCTCTTAATTTTTGTAGACTCAGATCATCCAATTTAAACAATGAGGAGGGAATGATGGGAGATGAACTCACTTTATGTTTCTGTACTGGAGGAGAAGGAAATGCATTATGCAAGTGGAGTTCTGCGATTGACAGGACTGTGACTGACAGGCACACCACTTTCCCTTTGTTTTGGAGACTGTTGTGTCTCCTGGTAAACAAGTACAATATAAATCCTTATCAAAGATTTTAAGTTAGGCAAGCAACTTGCTGAAGCAATTTGTTCTTTTTGTCAGAGACTTCCCTGTTGGGGACTGCTGCCCTCTAACCTGTCTCCTTCATATATGAAGAAATATATAAAAGGGCAAGCTCTCTTCTGAGAGATGCTCAGAGTGGGTTGTGTAGCTTGTATCTTAATGTTTCTGGTTGGCTGCTGGTGCTCTTTGGGAACCATGCAGGCTGTGTTCTCCCAGGGCACAAGAAATTTCTTCCACCTGCCAGACTCATGCCAGTTATAGGAGAGCTATTGTTGTGAAGTAACCCCACTGACCCCTGAGCACTGTGCTTTGTACTTCTCTGGGAGGTCACATAAAAGGTTTTGGCGAGCATTAGTCAGTAATTGTACAGATGTTTAAGTTGAAATGCCTTATTCCTGTCACCCTTAGCAGATACAGCATATCTGTAGCAAAATACACGCAGGTTTACAGCCACAAGATAAGAAAATTATTTACCCACAGTATCTTTTCATTCTTAAGGAATATTGTAGTTAGAGCTGCTCTTACCATTTACTCTCCATTTCTGCCTTTAGCTCTTTTTGGTACAACAGGATTTAATTTAGTGACTTGAAGATTCCCGGTCACTCTTCTTTTAGTGTAATTGCATCTATTCTTTACAAGGTAATGGCAGAGAGCTTGAATCGTCTCCCATTTTTTTATTTAAATTTCTTTTAAGTTTTCCAAGTGCAAATAACTGTATTGCTGTTAAACTGCAAAGTTAAATTCTTGAGGTATTTCAGTTTTGAAGGAGGAAGTAGCTACAAGTTTGAACAAATTGAAGAGAGAAAAGCTTCAAGTAATTTTAGGCTATTTATGAAACATTTGAAATCCTTATGTTGCAGTAAGCTTCTCATGTTCAAGAAGCTGTGTTCATCTTGAAACTAATATTTAATAATTCTTTATGCTGTGTTGCTGCTGCTGTAGGAAAGACTGCTTCTTCCAAAAAGGCTGTACCATACTGGACTGTAAAAAGCACACTGACAATGAGGATTTCTGAGCCCCCAGTTGAATCATAAAGTCCTCCTTTGTGTAGTAGTAGTTCCTGAAGGCCTGTGTTTATTATAATAATTGTGTATATTCGGTACACAGAGTTTGAAAGATCGTCCCTGCAGATGTGACACAAATGAAGACCCAGAGGAGTACAAGAGAACACTAAAAGGGCACAATTTTTCTTCTGGGATGTGGCTAAAGTCAGGTCTTTATTTCACCTCTCCATTTTGACAAGAGGATCTTGGCTCACGCTGAGGAGATGTGTAATCCCAATTTAAAGGAAAAGCTAGAAACTGATACTGTAGGGAGCCAGGATGTGGGATAGAGATAGCAATGTGTTCTGTCACTTAAATTACTGGCTTTGTCTTCTGAAGAGGAATTAAAAATAACAAAAAATGAAGTAATCCAGATATCTCTTAGAACCCAGTCAAGGGAAGCTGTCTGCAGGGTGGGTTTGTTTTCATGTCTTGTGCAAGCAGGACTACAGTATTTTGCTGTATGTTTCCTTTGATACACAGTCACTAAACGGAATCACCTGGATATGTTTATAGCTGAATACTTGTATATGCCTTTGACTAAAGATTTTTACTTGTCTTTGTTTACTTATTACTTGAAAAACAGTCTTGTTCCACTAAAGGAGCATGTACTTTACGATTCATTGTTTTAACAAGTATCAAAAAAGCTAAAGATAGTGTCAATATTCAGAAAAATAGCTCCCACAGTAAATCTAGAGAGATCAAATTAAAAACTTCCTCTCTTATTCTTTGCAGTAAATAGAATAAATTCTAATTCCTAAAACATTTGAAGTGTTCGGGACTTTTTTAACATTGAAAGAGAGCTTAGGGATCTTTTTTACTTCAAGAAGTTCACTTTCTACAGAGCAATACAATATTGGTGCATAAGTAAAGACATTTGAGCTGGGCAATCCAATTTAAATATTTCTGCAGTCTGCCTTGGCCTAGAACATCTGTGTAGCATTTTCTGTGTGCAGGATTTCAAAGGACAAGGCACAAGGTCATTTTGGTCCTCTAACTAAACTCTAGTAAATAAAAACAATCTTTAGGCATTCTCTGCATTGAAGTCTATAAGGTGATATGTGATATTTTAAAACATTTTGTAAAGTTCATTTAATAAAAATACAGTAATCACATATAGGACTTAAAATACTTGCTATTGTGCTTAATCAGTGAAATGTTGTGTAGTAGTGTGATTTCTGAAAGAGATGCTGGTCTCTTTTGTTCTTTTCTGGGAACCAGGAATCAGTAACATCTGCAACAGCCTGTTGCTATCAGGCAATCTGCTTAAGTTTCCTGTGCTGATCTCTGTAAGTATCAGCAGCTTGAGTACCACTGCTGCCCAGTCTTTATCACAGCTCTGTATGTGTGTGTGTGTGTGAAATCAATGTCTTTTTTTTAATGTCTTTTCTTTTCTTTTTGACCTTTTTTTCCCCCTTCTCTCTCCCCACCCCCCAGCTGTGTCTGACTTGCCTGACAGGAAATTTTCTAATTGCCGGAACAGCTGGTCACAGCAAAAACGCCAGGGTTGGTCTTCCCTGCTAGACTTCTGCTCGCTCACTCAGAAAATCCAAACATCATGGTTTCTTAGTCATGTTTAAGTTTCTGGCTCTGCGTGTTCGCTCTGTTCGGGTGAGCTTAGTTTATTATTTAAGAGAATAAGGGGGAAGTTCTACTTTTATTTAACTTCTGATTTCAGTGCAGTTTTAGTGTTTCGCTGCTTAGGGATCAGTGTTGTTTGGATTCAAAGTGTTTTGTATTTCCTTAAAGTCTGTGGTATGTTCATATGTTGTAGAAGTTTCCAAGGTACCTGCTGATAAAATTTAGCCCTATTATGAAATTATTACCTCTATGTAAATAACGTAAAACTTATATTTTAGGGGGAGGTGGGGGTTGTTAAATGTGAGCTTAACCGCGTGTTTTCTCACTGAGAGTTAAGTTTTATTGAAAATCTTTGTATTTTTAATACTTAGTAGTTATTTTAATAGTTGCATCTTAATATAGTGCTTTAAACTGTAAAATATGGCTCTGTGTGGTGATAGTTAAAATAACCCAAGCATATTAATATCTTAAATTTACTTCTGAAATGGTATGAAGAGTAATGATGTTGCATAACAGTGTTAGGGTTATTTCAACTTTTAAATTATAATTTAGTCATAGCAAATGTTTAATTTGTGTAATTTGTCTTGTTGGGCATATATTTAAGCATTAAAAAGTTTGGTTTACATTGAGAAAAATTACTAGTGGAGTATTGTATTGTCCCAAGCATTGTTTCAGAACTATTTAACATTATATGTAAACATGCAATGGGACAGAACATTCTATCATTGGAAGTCAAATCAGTTTTCACATTTATCCTTTTGTAGGTCTGCAAATAATTTTCAGTGAGGGGGTAAAAAACCCAAAACCCGATGACCTTCTTGTGTAATGACTTAACATCTTAAGTGAAGGTCTATTACCTTGTGAAAGCAGTAAACACCTACTAGCCCATGTAATGGTTTAAACAATTTGTATTAGTTTTTGCAATGCAATATTAGTTTTTGCAATATTAAAAAAAAAATGGAATTTTCTTGCCACAAGTGAAACACCAAAACAAGACATGAATGTAAAACAATAGAACATAGATGGCATTATAATCAAGAGGATTTTTAATGTAATGTAAAATAATGTAAATTTTAACTTATAAATACTTATCAACTTATAGTCCTGAATTATAGTTCTTTTCCACAGGCAACATGAAAGGTATTCCTCAGAAATTTGGTCAAACAATGACATTGTTTTATCTACTTACAGCAGCCTGGTTAGGTTGTCTCCAACATTCTGTTGATTTTAAAGTGCTAGCTATTGCAGACCAAACTACAGGTTTTCAACCCATATAGAGTTCAGTATATGTTTCGGAAATTATGATAATAAAACAGGATTCATAGTTTTCATAGATTAGTGCTGAGTATGCTTAGGGATTATTTTCCCTTCTAAATAGTTTGGGGGTTTTAACTTTAATTAGTTTTTTAATTGCAATTCTCTGAAATGTTAGTGCTTACCAAGTAGGAAAAAAATTTATATCAGAGTTACTGGGAAATGAAAGTTCCACCCAATGAGTATTTTTTTCCAATGCTGATGAGCACATTTCAGTTCATGAGATAATTTTGTGCTGTTTGATCAAAAGAGAACTGCGTTGCAAAACTGTTTTTGGGGGCACTGAGCTTTCAAAATGCTTACAGGAATTCCTCAGCTTACCTGCCAAATAACCTACTGCTCACAGTTCCTTTGGGAAGGAAGGGATAGTGTCCTATTCCTGTCCTGTCCTTTTGTGTATTCATTCTAAGGAAAGAAAGCATTTTCAGAATTACACTCCCAGCCTGGTGAACCAGTTATCCATAAGGGCTTACCTGTCCTCTGGCTTGTTTCTCTGATATTGGTTCTTAGCAATATTACTGAACAGGACTGCCTTGGCTTGTCTGGTCCCTGCTGCTGAACCAAACAGCGGCACCTGAGGTCGTTTCTCCCCAGAGACGCTACTGGTGGGTCACAGCTGGGCACGTGGGGACAAGTCCAGGCATGTCCCGAGCTCCAGTGCTTACTGGAGCTTGTAAGTAGGCTGGGGCTTGTTGGTAGAGAAGGGTTACTGCTCAGGCCTCCCTGTGCTGGAGAAACCTTTTAAGGCGATGGTGAAGAAGGACTTGGTCCTCATGGAGGGTTAATCCAGAGTTTATATTCCGGGCCGCACGGCCTCTGAATCCAGTAACAGCTCCACGAGAACTCCAAGCGCATGGTGTGCTCAGTAACGGCTCCACGAGAACTCCAAGCGCATGGTGTGCTCGTCCTTTTAACCAGAGGGGGAGGGAACACAGGGACCACCAACCAGGTACGGGGGAGGGGGGGATCTCAGGTGAGAGGGACGCCTGGATGGGCCAATGGCCCCCAGGGGTGGAGAGCGTCCTTTGAACCTGCCAATCACTCGATGCTCCCCTGGAATTTCTGGGTTGATAGACGGTGCCCAGCAGGGGTCAAGGTGGGGGAAAGGAGAGGTGACTGACACACCACCTGGGAAAGCAGACGTCGGGGGGAAACCAGGGAAACTGAGGCACACCATGACAACACACTGCAACACTCTGGGACAGGATTCATTCTTCAAAATCCTATCTGGCTTCATCTGCACAACTGGAAGAATGGGAGTTCTGTCTCAGTAACCAGGTCTGCAGTCTTTATTCTGTGAGTTGGCTATATGGAACAAATACAGTCATAGGCATCCTTCTAGATCTCAAAATTGTTGCAGAAAAAGCCAGAAATGAAAGAGACTAGAAAGAGTGTAAGGAATAAATACATTAATACAGTTTTTTCTTTGTTATCGCTACAAATTGTTTTCCTCTGAGAGACTTAACAATTTAAGAATTACAAAAGAAAAAAAAAACAAAAACCCAGACTCTAAAACTAAACATTTACAAATAAAGTTTTTTTAAGAAATCTTATTTTCTATCAGGTAAAAACAATTGATGCTGTTTGCAACAAGTTATATGATGTTAGTTGAAATGATAGGTTTTTCCATCTTGTAAAAAGAAGCAAAGACATAAATTGTGAAAGCCTGTGTTTCTGACTTCAGATGTCCACATTTAGAACTTCTGCTCTACTCTGGCTTTTCTTTGGTAGTAGTGTAAAACAGACAACATAAATAGCATATCCTTAGATCAGCTTGATTTAATTTTATGCATGGTACTGCTTTGCTTTTTGTTGTATGGGAATAATTGCTACTTCAGAAGTAGGATTTTTAATCAGCGTTTTAGAACAATTGTTTGTGTATGAGCAGATAAGTACTGGCTACTTCTATTAAGTGATTCAAATTGAATATTAGTCACAGTTATAAGGAATGGATCTTAGTCCATGATTTAGCTCACTGCTTGCCAAAGTAGTGGGAGATTGTGAAGTACTTGTTGCACTGTGACTTTTAAGATAGTTTTGAATTTGAAGATAGGAGTATGAAAAGTATAGAATGTATGAATGTATATAAAATGTGTCTAAGATATTTAAAAACACCTAGACTGGTGTACTCTTCACATTTTTAACTCCCATTTTTACCTTAATGAAGATTACTATAAGCTCTGGTAAAAGAGGTAAAAGTAATTCATTTTGCGTTTGTTGCTCTTTATTACTTCTAAAAGTATAACTCAAAAGGAGGCTTTAATTTCTGCAGATAATGCTGAAAATTCACCCTGTGTTCATAACAAGTTGGGAAAGTAAAAATGCATCTAGGAGACTTCCTGACTCAAGGGAGGGGAGGAAAAGGAAGTTCTGTATACTAGCTGGGGAACTGTGCCAACATTGAGTCATCCTTTTAGAATCACTTGTTATCCAGTAAGCTTACTGTCCTTGCTGGACATAACTGCTTTATGTAACTTCAGCACCAATGTTTAATATCATAGTCAATACTTCAGAAATAGTTTATTTGATTATGGGGATCAACGTTATGATACCTGTGACAGACAAATATTTTGCCAAACACAGCCATGTCCAGCATAGCTCTTAGCAGTACAATGAAGGCTAACAAAGTAGTGTAAGGCACCCTATAACCATTGTTGGAGCAGTGGTAAGTAAATTGCTGGGGAATCCATTTTTCTGTTTTCAGCCTTATCTTTGCTTGTACTGAATGTACATGTGCTTCAGGAAAATGCATTTGTCTAAAGGAAGCAAAACATTCCTGAAAAGAGATTGAGAGGGGTGAAAACAAAACTGCTACTTCTGTAAGGAAAATGGAAAAATCTATGTTGCTACATAATCAGTACTAACAAATGAAAAATTATAAAAGCAGTATCTTTGCTGCTGCACATTTGGATTTGCTTTTTTTGAAAATTGTATGGTCAACAGCATACCCTGATTTTAGGACTGATACACTGATTTAGGTCTTATCTTGAAAAATGGCTGTTGTTTGAGGGAAGTGTTCACCAATATGGGCAATATGGTTTTGACTTAATTGTTATAATCAAAGCTATCAAGAAGGATTTTTTTTTTCTCTTATTCTGATTCCTGACTATAGAAGTTGAAGTTCCAGAACTGTGATCTTTTCTCATGGTGATTCTGGCTGTTTCTCATGTGTAAATTATCCCCATATAAAATAGATACAAAAAATACTGTGGTATGTGATTTTTAAATTGAACATATTCACTAAACAGTTCCCTAAAGAGTTTCAGATGGGATCCCACCAGCATTTTTTAATGTATTCATAGGGTCTGTTTAAAAGAAGTAATAAAGTCACGACATTGGCACAGTTAAGTGCTAAATGGTGTATTAAGAAAAAAATCTTGCACAGTTTGGGGGAGTGTCTTGGCTTTGTCCGGCAGTGACTCTTGGGAGGGCTCTCGGTACCAATTAAACACAGCCCCATGGCTGGTCCCTCAGCAGCTGTGGTCACTGCAGGTTGGGCCAGGAAGATTATGGCTGGGAGTGTGGGGGCTATTGCTCTGAGTGCAGCATAAATCAGTGATGCAGAGGCTTCCATAATAACATGAACAATCAAGTAGTAAAAATAAAAAATTCAGGGAAGACTACAAGAACACGAGCTAGAAAATCACTTTGCAGTAAAAAATCTGGAAATGTTCTTAAGAAGCAAATTAAGTCATAAGTAAAACTTGTCTGTAAGT